TAGAAACGTCGAAACCCACTGCCAGTAGCTTCGTATTCACTCAATGAAGAGGAATTTAACGGATAAGTGCGCTATTGATGTCAGCCATTTGTGAGGCAAGCGTAAATTGCATGCGATAGAGGCATCAATTAACCTTGAAAGCGGCATTGTATCAGTTTGGAAGGCCTATGAGATTACCTGATCCCACTCTGCAAGAGTTAGCAATGGTGAGGCATCCGACTGTGTTGTTTTGTGTGGATCCATTAATTCTCCAGGCGTCTGCAACTCTACCATAGTGGACTCCTGAAGATGAGCTTTCTCTATTGTTGCTGCCGTAGCTGTAGCTGCCGTCTGCGGGTCTAGACCCGCTTCCAAGACCACTGGAGTTTGTTTCAATGGAATTGTGGCGGTTCCGAGGTTAGCGGATCCTGTGGTTGTTAGCTGAATCACTGAGGCAGACCCCATAGATCCAGGATGTGGGCGCAGCGATAGTGCCGTCGCTGACTGCGGCAGAATGAGCTGAAAGACCCTAGCTGATCTTGGTGGAAGAGAGATACATCCAGGACCAGCATTTGGCGAAAGTAAATTGATGGAATCCACCTTATCATTAGCGTACTGGACGGTTCCGGAAGTTCCTTCTGGATGACCCACGATTATAGTTGCAGCTTGAGCACTTGGAGCCAAATACGTGGTTGCTGGAGTAGTTGAGGCTGCGATTGCCGCACCTCCAGTTGTCGGTGTTGCCGTCCCTGACTCGAATTGAGTCATTGTTTTCTGGGCCACTCCTATAACCGCACAGAGTTGACGGTTTTGAAGAAAAGTAGCCGTGCGAGTCCCAGTAGCCGTCTGATCAAATTGGAGGTAGGGTGTGGCTGCTGCACTTGAATGATGTGCTAATATACTCTGGTCGCAGTGAACTTAAGGTTCGAAAAAGCATGTGAGGAATTTAATGATCATTGAGATTAAAATAATCAAAAGTTAAGCCTACGTGATGGTGTTTGGATAGCATCTGAGATTACAGTCAGGCCAGGATGAGGAGGTACACCGGCCGTTGCCTGCGGAAATGCAGTGGATTGAAGATGCAGTGGTTTTTCAACAATCTGCAGCCCCGGATGGTTGGAGAGAAGACCTGTAGAGATTTGCAATTGGTTCCCGGAGTAGGCACATCGCAGCAGAGCAGGAGTACTTGCAGCCGTTGCTCCCATCGCCGTTGCATTCGTACTGATGGCGCTTAGAGGCTGCGATTGAGCCACCTCAATGGCTGGCTTAATCGGTGTTGCTCCAGAGATGTACTTAAAGCCATTGTCAGCCAACTATAAAGCAAAGAAGGCAGTTTAATGTAATAAGCTTAAAGAAAACTTGCCAGATGAATTGCCACTCCTATTCTCCCTACCACTTAACCAAAACCTTACACTGTTCATCGTGTAGCCATGGTTTTGTTGCCTTTAAAGTCTCGAGGGAGGAGGAAGGGGGAGAACTGTTCATACAAGGGATTAAGAGCAAAAAAACAAGTACTATGCTTATAGCAACCAAACAACTGAATACTTTAACAATCATGTTACCTCGCCATTTCCTCTAGCAAATGCTAGCGATTTTTACCTGCCAAAGTTGCGTATTAGTTGATTGGGAAAGTGCTAGCTTGGCGTCCCAGTAACTGCCTAAGCATATCTTTGTCGAAAGGATGAGAGGCAGCAACTCCAAATTTTCCTAAGACAAGTTCTAGAAATGCTTGAAACAGTGGATTTCAATTTATTTCCAAATCTCAGATTCTTTCTAGGTCCATAATTTGGCTATAAATATATGTTTGAATAATTAATAGTAACTGTAAGGTGGGGACGAAAAAGGCGCTTGGGATTATGAACTTCAGCCACTAAGAGACCGTTGCTGGCTTTTTTCTTCATCCGAGCAAACAGAATGCTCAACGCTCAATACAAGTAGTGAGGTCCTTTTTTAGCTCTGTTTTGTCCAGTTTTTTGGCAACATCAATTACTAGGCGAGTCCTCTTCACCTTGTCGAATTCCACCTCGTCTTTTAAGTGGTTAAGGCTTAGAAGTGTATCAACCGTAGCAATGGCAACGCCTCGTCCAGGCGAAAGCGATTTTGATGGGTAATTTGTCTAACATAGTCATCCACGATCATTTTGGAATTTGAATTACGAAAGCTCGTAAAGAGCTTTTGAAAATTATTAGAGCTTAATTGGTTGTAGTTGTGCGTTTGGAGAGGAAGTGAATATTTTTTTTCCTGTAATTGGTCAAAATTAATCGGAGACATTTTATCAAGGGTGAGAGAGGAAGCAGAATTCGCATGGGACGGAGGAGCAGGGTGAATGGAGAGAGGGGTAAGGGAGGAAATGAATGACTGAGCGCGGGCAGAGTAAACAGGCTATTTTTAATGCTCTCCATCAAAAGACTTATCGATGTGACAGCGCTTTGGCTTATTCTGAACCGTCCGATTTGCAAACAGCACTCCTCTTTAAACAAAAAAATTGGGGACCTCGGCATACGATTTTTTGGTCTGGAGCTGGGACATCTAACTTGATAATGGCGCGGTGCAGTAAAAGGGAGGCTAATTACTTTTTCAGGGAGAGGAGAAACAAACTATGCAGAAGTAATGTGGGCAAATCTTTTTCCTACCGAATGGTGGTCCACCTTGCTTCGCAGGGGATCCGACAGGTGGGTTGACGTGGCAAGAGAAGTATTGGGCAAAATAAATGCTGACGAGCCCGGCCTTCGTTCAGTTGCAGTGGCCTCTGAAGTCTCTGGTTTTGGGAACGATCTTTTACGAAAAAAGAACCACCATTATTGCTACATCTTTGTGTTGTGTTTTAGATAGTGGCGAAAAAAGTCTTGCAGGTTTTGGTGAAGCCCAGAACGGATTTGTTCAATTTTTATGCGTTCTCTTATAGGGCTTTGTGCTTGCATTCCATTCCAAAAAGTACCAAGTAAATCTAAAGGATGGGATTCGAGTTTATGATCGCAATGGCTTGAGTTCCTCGTAATATTTACGGTATAGTCTTTGGCAAGATTACGACAGCCCATAGCGTGGTCCAGTAATTGTCAAAATGAGCCTCGAAAATCCTTTAATTTCAGGGTTGAGATAATCTAATTCTCTTGTTGCTACTGTTTAAATTGAGTTGGTGGTGACGCAGTAAGACTGCCGGTTATTCGCACAGACACACACATGTTCGAATGACTGCAATGGCTTCCTGTCTGGTACACGCAAGACTCGATTGTCAGCAATTAAGTCGTTCACTTGCTACGTGCTTGAGTAAATGCAAAATCCCCAGATATGGTCAAGACTGTTTAGTCGATGAGAAGGAAGTTCCATGTCACTTCTAACAACTGCAAAAGTATTATTTTACCGTGGATTAAAAGTGAGGAATGGGATGGAAAGAGGTTGTTTCACCCTCTTCCCACATTTGCATAACAATATTAACCTTTATTACGTTTTCTCATGACGGTTGCTTTGAAAATGAGAGCGAGTCGGAATTGAAAGCGTCTAGCATTCTGTGTTTGTTTAGATTGCTCTGAATGAACTGCTTTAATTTTGAACTCGTATCGTAGTGGGACTAAAGTTGAGGTGGTAATCGTTACCTCCTCCTCAATATAGAGAAACCAACTGACTAGCTTAGTTGCTCCTCATTGGCAGTGGATGGACAGAAGGATTTGGGAGAATGAAATAGAAAAATGCCCAATTATTTTGAGAAACCATTGTCGCCATTATCAGCCCAAATGACACGGCTCTTTGGCCTGTATGGATCACAGCAATTAGAAGGGGTGTGGAACATTGTCACTCCTCTGCCCTGTCCAAATTGCGAGCGGCGTCGAGATGAAATAAGTCATAAGCACTCTTTGAGAGTAAGGTAAAACTTACAGTTTCTTGAGTCGCTTAGCCTCTCGCAGCTGTTTGACGAGGAGACCTATATCCTGCGGTCTTTCAACTTGTCGTTTTAGTCCCATTGAATGCAACTAGAAGCAAACAAAGCGGACAAGTTAGTCAAGGCACATGACAGCCCTTCGGAGGCTCTCCACGTGATAACTTAGAACTGTGTTTCGATGAATGTTAACAAATGATTGAGTGATGAATATAAAATGTTGGGAAGGATGAAAAGCTAAGTTATGTGAGCTTAGGATATGAGACAATTAGCAAAAAAATCACTTTAACTCCTGCGTAGATATTCTTGCCACCAAGACATGGACATGTATTCCACAATCGGCATCTAGAAACCTTATAGCGTTGACTTCTTCTACCTACCCATGTTCCTCAATTCTTTTGTGCCCTATCTCGTCCTCTGAATTAAAGCGTGAAATGGAGTTTTGGAATGCAAACAAACAACTTCCTCCTTTAATGCCTCCTCTCGGATAAGCTACCAGTAGCATACATACGAAATGCAAAAGAGATATTCCAACACAGCTAAATTTTGTCGGTGTCACTTCTTGTGATGCCTTCAGCATGACCCCCACGTGTGCGAGCGCGGATACGTGCGTCTTTTTTGGCACCTGCCAGAAAGGCACACGTATACACTCGAACACAGAGGGAGGTAGGCAGGAGTTCCGTCTCCTTTTTTCCTCTTTCCTTGACAAGGAGAGGGAAACACACACGCACACGCACTTGTGATCATCGCCTGCATGACACTTTTTCATCCCTCATCCCTGCTTTATCCCTTCCTTTCCCTCCTTTCCTCCCCGTCCATTGCCTTCTCCAGTTCTATGATACACGAGAAGCTATATTTATACATACATACACACATTTAATCATCATAGAGGAGAAGAATATTCTCTTTTACTCCATTCAGGAAGCATAAATTTTTATGTCAGCTTTTTTGTCTTCGGTTATATAAGTCCTCAAAATACAACCTTTTTCACTGTTTCAACTATCAATATATAACGGATAATTGTTTCAACAACTCGTTCGAAACAAGGCCGTTAGGATTTTCCATCACGTTAGCGAAGCACTCTACAATCCACATTCATAAACCTGCGGACCTTCAGTGCGCTAGCGAGGGCTCACTCCTCCACATTAACGTCAAGGGGATCGTCTAGTGTGTCATATCCTGCCAATGATTCCCTTGATGTGGAACAATACCCTCATTACATGCCTTCACGTTGTCCTCCAAACACAATGAAACGATATCTTTTAAGAGGCGTAAGAAGGCAATGGTAAAGTCGCATTATTTTTTAGCTAAAGTGGTTGACTTTCGTCGCTGAAGTAGTACTGCAGTGTGTAAACAGAGGGGATCAGTTGCTAATTATCTCATTCCTTGTGAAATAAATAATTACAGGAGGAGGTTTGACACCACCTCTAGAAGATTCTTTAAAAGCAGACTGGAAAAATCAACGAAAACAGTTCAACTTCCGCTTTCACTTTGGCATGGAGACTGCGAGCTGTATTCTTATCATTGTCTTAATTAAAAACCTACTATAGTAGCAATTATGTATCTTTGCTTACAAAAAAATGCTTCCCTCAATTTCTAACTGACTTTTGTGCCTCAGATTCCTTCTATTCCTCTTCTAGTTCCTTTGACAAATGTGAGTTCATTTTTAATTCAAAATGTGAGACAACTTTTGTTGTGCTCATCTCACAAAGTCCGAGCCAATATTCCAGCATTATTAATGCCCAAAGGTCTTCATTTTGCGTTCTCACTGAGGGAACAGTCATCTTCCACTTATCTTTTATGCCCCAAAATAAGGTGAAAAAGTATCTCTTGCCGACATGATTCTTTTCATCAAATGATAGAGGAAAAGCCAAAGTTTGGGTGGAACCACACCCTCTAAAAATGTCGTCGGAACAATAAAATTCATTCCTCTCTTTGGCATAAATTCATTTCATAGCTAGCTTTGCTTAATATAGGCGGAAGAAAATCTCCAACTTTCATCTTTTTTCTGCTGCTATAAGGGCAGTGAATCACGAAAATGAGCTTCACAGTGCGCATTGCATAATTAATATTTTGTCACTTCCCGCCGGATTTTATTATTGACACGCATGTCAACGAACAAATCTGATGCAATGGTCAGAAGCAAGTAGAGAGCAAATGACAGACTCTTGAGACCGCAGTGAGCATTCTGTGGGCTTCCTGTTTTGTGTTTAGTCGGCACACAGCAAGGCCGATGTCAGGCCATTGAGTGGTGGATGGAAAGTGTCGGTAACCCTTTAAGGTCCATCACCAAAGGGGAGTGCAAAGAGGCAATCAAAGCGGCAAATTGATTTGCAAGTCTTACTTTGTAAGGCTATGAATGTATCGACTAATAGCAACTTAGTTACAAGGAATGTTTAAACAACAGTCACGCACAGCCTGGTTTATGTCTAATGTACGACATAATCTCAGGAAAGTTATAAAGAAACAAGCCCGCGCAGTATGCAGTTCCTTTTAAGTACAAGCCTTTCATGACTTTTAACGTGCCCTCCTTGAAAGACGTGGTAGTTCAGGACTCGCGTGCCCCACAGTCAACCTACCGTTGCTTCATTTGTGGTGAAAACACTCCCCCATTGAGGGATTGCATTTGGATTCGGTTGAATGCCAAGCTCTTTACCAAGTCATTTCTTGTATTGTCTATTCGTTGGCTAACTTTTGAACGCTTGATGGTTCAAGCAACTTGCCGACCGACCTTTGGCTAATCGGAAATGCGGTTAGCCTCACCTGGTGAAGGCGGCTAAGTAAAAGGTCACGTTTGAGCGAATTTCAATGGACTTGTTGGGTGGTGTGGGATTTGTTGAAATTCACACGCAAAGAGTTAGTTAATAAACGAAAATAAAGGAGTGGGACATTATCACTTTCCCACGCTAATTCGGTTGTGTGTTCTGCGGATCACATATGGGGTTTCGGGGAACACGGCATTTCAGTCAGCTGCCTCAATTTTTTCCCCAACAATATACATAAGGTTCTTTGATTGGAGGCAAAAAGTCCCGTCAACTCCACTTAATTTTCCATTTTAACAGACAAGACAGAAGGTCATGCGCGTGCTAATTTGGAGTGAGTCAATAAAACTTTTAACTTTGTTTGTATAATCGCCATTATTGATGCTCTTTGCAATGTATTAATAATTAAGTTTCATGAGGCTTTTGCATTTGTAGGTAGCATAGATTACCATAATC